TCTTTACACTATACTACGATAATCTCTCTATAAATAAGCCCTAAACCAGTCTTAAGAATCATACAGATTGGCGTTTCTCATACTGATCATGTTAGCAACGAGGAAGTCTATGATAGAATGGAAACAGTCCCCCCTTCCCAATCAGTTAAAGCCCAACAGATCAGATTCCTGGGCCACTGTCTTCCAGGGGGACCTTAATTCTAAATACACTCTGTACCACCTGGCACATGGTAAAGCCAAACCTGGTTGACAGAAAATTCTATTCCACGAATATGCTGCAAAGCTAATCAATCCAGAAAATCCCCCCCTTCCTCACAAAATTCGTACTTTGGCACATGGACTGCAAAGCTTGGAAGCGCATGGAGGCCAACTGTTGGCACCACTGGAAACCCCCGTGAATGCCTCAGCCTAGCAGAGAGAAGAGGGAAAGGGGGAAGGGACTTACCGGTATTACAGAGGTAAAGGTACTTACCTCTGCACATGGATCCAGTGACTAGCAATATCCAGGCAGATCAGCATTTGAAAAATAAAAATGTACTTTGGATAAAAAAGGCCCAGTATTACAAGCAATGCTGTGGTAACACATCTGAAATTTGAAATTACTGAGTTAAAATTTATGCAATTGGTAATGTTACAAAAGCAAAACATCTGAATCTGTTGTTGCTATTTAAATTTAAGACAAAAATGTACAACTCTAGATGTTGACTCCAGGTAAAATAAGGTCAACAGTTATAAATCAGTAACAGTTTTTTTTTACACCGATGGAGAGACTGGGAGCTAAAATGCCCTCTGCCCAAATATCTTTCTGCAGAGTACTCTTGCTATACTAGTGGTTGAATAAGAAAAGGTTTGTGTATATAGTAGCTGGGTGCAAAGAAAGTCAGCTTTACAGCTTGCCCTTTAGGCAATCAATCTGTCGCATGTACTAGTCTGAAATTCATTTTGACAAATTGAGAAGCAGGATAATCATACTTGCTTCATTGTGGTAAGCCATAATTCAACAAAAGCTTAAAGGAGCCTTCAAAGTCATATTTAAATTGGTATTTTTCATTGTTTTTACCCAAAGATTTACTGATTAATTAAGGAGGCAACAATACTAACTTAATGGTATAAACTTAAGACCCCATGCCAATAACCCATACCCCACCCCCATAACCCACCTCCCCCCCCCCACATTTCCCCACCATATTAGGGAAAAAACCTTTGTTATTGTGCCAGTACCATAATTATTGACCTAATAAAAAATAATGCCTCCTTCCCCGCCAGCTGTTAAATTGTTTGTGTAATACAATAATATTGTATTAGACAGCCCTCTCTAATAAACACCCCCTGTCTAATAGGTGCCCCCCAATGAGAATTACTCCAAAATATCAGAAAATAGCAAAAAGGAACATTAAAGTCATTCAATTCATTCAGTTTCTTGTTTGATTAACATGGTTTTGCATAATCTTCATCTTGTTCAACATCAAGTTCAAAGAAATGATAGACTCTAACAATGGCAACACAATAACCGTGAGGAAGGGATTTTAATTTCTGATATCGATGCTGGGATTTAAAAGAAGCAAAAGGGATCTCTAGACAGCCTAGACGTATCAAGACGGAGAAGCTATTCCCCTATTTTTGAACTGTCTTGATATTTTTTGTTGAGCTTTTTACAGTTCTCTGAGAATAAACGTCTCTCTCTTTTAAAATCTCCTATCTATTAAACACCTCAGCTTGGACCCTTAAATTAAATAGATACCCCGAGTGTTTATGAGGTCGTAATCGGTAATCCATGAGTCAATTACCTGTCCGTTAGCATATCCAGCATTGCACCAAATTTTGTACCTGTAAATAAGTATTACATCATAGCTTTTTATAAAAAATAACCTGAATGATTTTAAAAATTAGATAGTGGACAAGATAGTACCATATAAGGAGGTGTGTGGAATGTGAGGCCTCAAGTGACTCCTGTATATTTATATTCAAATTCTCTTTTTGATTCGCAAACACATGCAAGGCAAATATGGCATGAGAATCTAGCAGTTTATCAGAAGGGTTGTCATGGTTTCCTTCCGCGCTCCCCTGATCCCTTGCGGCTCCTTCCATTTGACCAGGTACCTTCCCCACACCTATTGGTTTAACTCCACTGTAATACTGTTAAACCTCTTGAGCACGCACTTAAGCTAAAACCAACTGCGAAAGAAAACACTAGAGACTCACTTTGATTAAAGTATCGTGCTGCATGTCCGTCGAATGCATCAAGTAAACCACTGAGTAGGTACGTAATTGTAGCGACGATATAGTCGGTTGGCATAAAATAAAACGACAGGATAGCCAATACGATTCTTGCATAACCTACAAGAGACGAATTGTTCATTTAGCTTAGGATCTGTACATCTGTGTGGATCGAACCACTGATCGATCATTGTTGCTTTGAAATCTGCTCCGAACAGCTGTCATTTTGGAACACCGCGATAACAATCAACTCATCTTACCTAAAAGAATCACAAATACTTACCAATTAAGTTAGGGATAAAGAGAAAGACGTTCTCCTTCATTTTGCCAGATAAATTCACCAAAATTAGAGCGAAAAGAAACCGCTACAGCAAACCACTGTTGATGGTCTTGGCGGTAGGATCAGAGTGAGGGGACTGGGAAAGGGGTGTGTCAACCACAGGCATACCAATTCCGTCTTCACGTATTCATGGTCGGGGGTACACACAGGGAACACGTTGTAGTTAACTTTTTATCTTAGGTAATTTTTGTCTTGCTTTTGATTTTGGGTATGGTAATGTATGCTAATGAAGTTGAAACAAAAGAAAAATAGAAATTACCTGAGATAAAAAATTAACTAGAACGACCAAATATACGGCCCACCCCACTCCCCTGTCCCTTAAGACGAAACGTTAGTTGACTTTGAACTGTTTCGTCCAAGGTTTAACTTATGAACATCTGTTCAATATCCAGTTGAAAGAAATGCTAGACTAACGATGGCAACACAGTAACCGTGAGCGAGGATATAATTTCTGACATTTCTGGTTAAGGGTCTTCTCCAAGCAATCAACTCAGTTATTTCATGCATGTCAGTCTAGCCTCCCATGCAGAAGTTCTCAGAGTTAAAGCTCTGCCACGAGTTCTTCCATAGCAACGAAGGTGGGACGAAAGCAAGAAATTTATTCAAACACGCGTGGAAGGGACCGTGTAAGGAAGTTCCTTCGCATCATTTCTCGTTCCCAGGGTTCCCAGGGCTCCCAGGGCTCCCAGGGCTCCTAGGGTTCTCTCTTCCTTTCACATTCGCAAGTTACAGAAACAATTTTTTTCCCAATATCGAAGTCACGCGACAATGCCGATGCCCACTGGGCTACCTGTGGTAACGCTAGGCCCCTTTTGAGGGAGTTCCATTGATACAAATACTTGTGTTGGACTTTCAAACGTTAAATCTTGGTGATGCTGTGCCGTTACTTCGGACTTACTGCCTTGGACTGAGTGTCCTTCTCGCATATTCCCTCAATCCCATAATCCCGAAGTTTATTTTCAACATTCCGCATCCTGTGCATACTTTCGTTCCCGCATTTCGCCCCCAGTTTCCTTTGAAATCCCGAATCCTGGTCTTCAGATGCCCGTATCCCGAGAGCCTATTGGGGACCCTAGAAAAGCGTGCGCGCAAGCTTTTTTGACCCGAGCGCGAGTCCCTTCTACTTCACATTTGACGAGGAGAAGAGCGCAAGCGATTGACGAGTTACACGAGGATCTTGTCTATTTTAACAATTTTATTTTTTATAGGATATTAAAGGATATAATCAACAGCAAAAAGTTTACCGATAACTCGCATCAAGGTTAAATTGCAAACCATGAAATAAGATGATGACTATCGCACAGGCTGTCGAAACGTCAGTCACTGTCAACAACAACAATCCTATTCACGACTACGTTCATCGGGTCGATCAAACTCAAGCTATTTTGGAACTATAATTTATGTTTGTAAAAACAAACAATGAAATAAATATAATAATATATTTATATGAGGTAAAGTTACTATAACTTAGAAAAAGCTATTAAATAGCTTTTGACTAGATATAACATAAGAAATACCAGGGAATATGCAAAATGAAAAGTTTTGGCCAATATAATCTATTTAGGAATATCTCCTTAGTTGATATATCCTTTCCTAGTGGAGCTATAAAACAATTTGGCCGGCAAGCAAACCTTCTATTTCGAGTAGCGAGCGAGCTTCGAGCTTTTCCTGCCTCTCGCTCTTGCCTCTCTATTAGTGTGCCACTCCCATGTGACTTCTCGCGTTATCCCCCAAATGGAAAGCTTGCTCGCATCACACATTTGTCATATATACAGCTAGCATAGTTTTTGTAGAACAACACAGGGACCATCACCAAGTTTTGACACCTATATTACATATGTATATGTACAACTACAGTTTCTGAAGTAATTTTACAATTGCTTGCTTTACCTAGCTCTTTTGATTTGCTAAAAATTCTCTTTAACATCAAGAGGTAAAACCAAAACCATCGACGAGTGGCTCGCTTAATCTGATGGGTTCAATTGATTATCTACATACACGCGTTGTGATTGAGGGTGGCTACATTGACACTTGACCATTTTTCGGCCCTATAAAAATAGACTGTTTACAACACTCGGTTTTCTCTTATTCTTATTTGATGAACGCGCGAACTGGACACGTGTGTGTTGGCCCAGCGCACGTGTCAATGCAATAACGCTACTTCCAGGTTACGTTAAGAAAACAGAGATGCCGTGAATAGTCTATTAAACTAAAATCGTTCTCGAAGATTTTTTTATATTCTCAAGAAAATATACACAAACAAATAGTTACTTAATGTAGATTCTAATAAGACACGCGCAGTGGCGATTAAGTTCTTTAACTAAGTCAGGCCTCCTGCTCATGCAGACCCTAATATTAGAGTCAGGGGGTGGGGTCTAAAAAAATCATTTTTTCTTGGCCGGGTCCCCTGGGACCCCTCCCCTGGATCTCCCACTGATGCAGTTCAGAGTGTGCTTGTTGTTCCAGTAGCCTGCAGATCACTGGCTTCTTGTTGTTTCACAGTAACAAGCTCATTCTTTTCTATTGGTTCCGTTGATTCCTCCGGTTTGACTCGGCAAAGACCACAGCGCCTAAACAGACGAGTGACGTTAAGCTGTCCAAAATCATTCTTTGGACCAATCATTGTACAGATTGATAAGAAAATGAAGGTGGAATAAAGCCAGCTGAACACCATGACCAACATCAGGAACTGACCAAGCTGGAAGTACGCAAGCACCTTCGCTGGCATCATCATCAATCCTGATAAAGTAAAGAAAAACATCCTTTAGTAAAAAAGGGAGAATTGAGCTAACGAGCGAGAGCTTATGAAGAGCGCGAAAGGGAAGGAGAAGGGAGGGAACCTTTCTAGCACGCCTTATTAGGGAGTTTAAACAACGAGAACGGCGACGACATTGAGGACGAAAAAAAAGCAATAGGGTTAGATTGGCAAAACAACAACTTTGCACGTGCATCACGTTTTTTTGTACATTTCTTTGCCGTCGTTGCACGATTACAACGAGAAACTGCCTAATTTCACGTTTTGTGGAGGAAGTGAACATATGACAACGCGGGACGCTCTTTCTTCGCCAACATCTCATCAATAGAACGAGATGGAATACGCACGATAAAGTTTAAAGCAGCGCGAACACACTTTTTGACTGATGTCAGGGGCACCCAACGAGAATATAGTTCAAAACCACTCAAACATAACATTGTTGAACGTATTCTAGTATTTAAACGGTAGATATAGGCATATTTTTATCCCCTAAAAATCTTTCATCTGTTCGGATTTCCTAGCTGAAAGTCTAGTGATCCGAAAATTATAGGGATCAAAGCTTACCTTTTCGAAAATTTCAGCCAGAAAAAAGGCTCCCTAAAATTCTAGGTGACTTTTTTAGGGTAAAAATCCGTTAAAAATGGGCAATTATACCATTTTTCAGATGTTCGAAAATCCTAGGAGAGGCATGCGAGCGAGAAATTTTACAACAAATGTTCCGAAAATTCTAGATCTCAAATCGTCTTCCGAACAGATATTTTTCCGAAAATTGACGTTGGGTGATGATGATGTTCTCGTAGCCGTCGCCGTCGTTATTGCTTAAGCTCCCTAATTTCCTCTTTTTCCTTTCACACTTAAAACGCCTGCCCGCAGGCTAGTATATGTGTTAGCTGTTTATAGTCCGTGAATACAAACGATTGGTCAGGATCTCTGATTGTTGGTGTGGCCATATTATACTCTCCCGGTTATTTACTGGAAATACGTTCATCGCACAACATCGTATACTCTTCCAGTTATTTATTATTCAACAGTTATTGCGAGCTTCGTCTCGCTATTGACTTTCTTATCGATAACATCTACGTTCGTTTTGGAAGCTCGGTTTTTCGGCAGGTTATTGGTATACCCATTGGCACCAACAGTGTACCTTTATTGGTTGATCTCTTCCTTCATACCTTTCAGTACGATTTTATGGTCAAAACAATGAAACAAGACATTACAAAAGCCATCAAGTTCAGCAACACCTTTCGATATATCGATGACTTATTCAGTATTAACAATGTGAACTTTGGAAATTGCATCAGCGCAATTTACCCGTCGGAATTGGAACTTAAGGAGACATCCACATCATCTACTGAAGTGTGTTATCTCAACACAAATATCAAGACTGGCGTCAAGACGCAAAAAAAAGTCTCTATCGCGAAATTTTCCACACGGCGGGAAGCGATGAGAGATGGCTGTATTAGCAGGCGTATCGCGGTCGTCAGAACGCATCCTAATCTTGGTGTTCCTGTGGTACAAAGCCACAAATTTTCGAGATATCACGGGCGACTGCCGATTAGTCGCCCCAACTGATTTTATCAGGGGCATCTCGGCCGGGAAACTGGACTCCTTTCGACTCGATTTCGTTTCCGCAAGTGACGAACGCCGATCCGTAATCAATGATTACCTCTAGTTTTAGTTTATGTACTAACCAGAGAAAACAATGACAGAAAGTCTCACCTGTGAGAAATGTTGTAAGTGCTGCCATAGTAATCGCTGATCCAATGTGAACCAGGGAATAACGAACCCTGCTTTCTCTTTGTTTTTTGTCTGGCGCCAGTCTGTAAGCCACACCATAATGCATAGTAAAGTCAATCGACAGTCCAACAGCTACTGACATCACAATGGACTCCAATATATTCAACTGCCAGCCTGCCAATACTAGAGATCCACTGGTGATCGATATGATTCCAATGATGGTGATGATGGCGTAGATGCTGATGAAGATGTTGAGTGTTGTGAGCAGCATGACGAAGAATGACACCGCCACAGATATGCCCAGGGATGAATAGGTACCCTGTGATAGGCCAATCTGTAGGCCATAAAAATTGAACAACCAACTTCCTACCCAGCCACTTTGCAAGCCAGGGGGAGCCTCAGACAATTCACCTTTCAACCAAGAAGTAACTTGTTTATATAATCCATCTACAACTGAAAAAGCATTTGTGAATGGTTGATTGGTAAAAATAACAAGCCTAAATCCCTTCACTTCATTTGTCTTAGAATCAAATAGAAGTCCAGTTTCATGTCCTGACTTGGCATATTCCAGAAGACAACGCTTAGTTACATCACGTGGGTAAGGAAATGAATGGCTGCTGCAATTTGGAACATGGCCACTTTCAAATAATGTCTGTAGTGCCTTTATTGGGCCCCCCCGATTTCCAGCAAATGCAAGGAAAAATGACTGGTTTTCAGCCGATTCACACAGAGAAAGAAGAAATTGCTGGCCTTTGCGAGTAAAAAGATCATCCAAATTCGATTCAAATTCGAGCGTTCCTTTGTCATCCGGATTGAAGTAATTGCCATTATCTGCAGGTTTGATTCCCCAGATTAGCTCTATGCTTGAGCTTCCACTCTGCTCAAACCTAAAGAAACTCTTGTACTTTAAACTGTACTGTTCAAGTGAATGGGAAGAGGCAAACACTTGGAAGTCCTTACTTTCAGGTAACTGAAGGCCCGGTTTTACAAAGTTAACACACAAAAACCCAGCGGTCAAGCACACAAGCAGTAGTACCCAAACCCAGTGAAATTTGATAACTACATATGGCAACCAACGACCAAACAGATTGGAACTGAACTTTTGGATACCATCCGCAGCTGCTGATACAAGGGAGCAGGGAAAGTCAATAACCTGTAGAATACAGAAAGATGACTGCTTTTGATTATCAGGCTTGAATGTTCCTTCCCTTAAGGCATCGGTCGACATGTCCTGTGGCACTGGTGCAGTTATATCCTCTTCTGATTGGCCTGATTTTAGAGTGTGAAGTCCATGGCCTTCACTGTACTTCATCACCCATTTCTCGTGCAAGGCAACTACTGCAGGGAAGTAAGTGATCATCAAGAGGTAATTGGTCAAGATGGATGTACCCGCGAATATTCCAAAACACTTGATGGCTGTTATGCTGGAAGAGATCCCAGCAAAAAATGCTGATGCTGTTGTCAAACTTGTAACCAGCATGGAGAGGGCAGAATAACGCAATGTCTTAATTGTCAACTGCATGATGTTTGCATTGGGGTTAGCAGCTCTTGTTTGTCTCCATATGTCATAGTAAACAAATGCATCGTCTGCTCCAATACCAACCAAAAATACCAAAGTCAGAACATTGAGAAAAGGGAAAAAATCCATGCCAAAAACAATATTGTAGAGAAAGTATGACAGACCACAAGCATAAATTACACAAAAGAGGGCACAAAAAGTGAGAATGAAAGAGCCCAGGAAAAACCACATGATCGCGAACACAACGATCATAGCCAAAGCAGGAAATATGACTTCAGCAATTAGCTCTTTTCCAAATTTGTCATATTTGAAATTACCAAACCTGAAGGCTGCTAATTTTACACCATTTTTTTCATAGGTGTTACCCTTTAAATTCCCATACATTTCATCATAAAAATCATATGCCCTATGTACTGGTGGGATGGAAAGAGTATATTTGAGAAAAGCATCGTTTGATGTCACAAACTCATTGTCCACAAGATACTGAAAAATGATGTACACTGCAGAATGTTTGATGCATTGTGCTGGCACAGACTTGCAGTTAGAGCTCACAGTTTCATTCATAAGTGAACACTCAGCAGTGAGAGTTTGCTTTACAAAATGAGATGAACAGGTCTTTAACAAGATCTTGACATTCTGCACGTCATCCTCAGTTATATTTTGACACGTCTGTCGGTTATTGAGCAATGCAACATAATTTCCAAGAGACGAGCTTGAGTAACATTCGTTAAAACTGTACGATTGGCAATTTGACGGAAAGGAGGGGTTATTTCGTACAATATCAGTATCCATGGAGCAGATGGCCTTAAGTTTGTCTGCCTCAAATAAGTTTTTGTCTGGGTCTGCAGCTTTGAAAACCAAACTCATGGATGATGCGTAATACCTGTTAAGGTATTCATTCATAGGAGGTTGAAGTGAACTTTGCTGGGAGCGTCGTTTGCGCCTGGCTGTTTGCACGTTGTCATGCATGATTGGTCCCCCACCTAGGGGTGAGTAACTTGAGATTCTAGTAACAAGTGTATGTTTCTTATCCAAAGCATCATCAAGATTAGAAAATGCCACAATCTCATTACTGAGTGATGTTCCTCTGGGCTCAAATCCCTGTAAAAAAGAGAAGTTACTTTTGTAAAGTACTGAAAAACAAAGATGAAGCCATGCGACAAAACTGCTGAACATGGGAGGTTTCATTTGAATTATTTCCTAAACATTCCTTAATTTCATACTTTGCAGAATACAGTCAACTCTAGCTTACTGGACACTTCTATAAAACAGACATCTAGATTTAGTCCCTGCCTCATTTGACTCTCTATAAGACAGACACTTAAGGCCGGTGCCAAGCATACACTCAGTCAACTCTTTCATATTATGGACACCTCTATAAGACAGACATCTAGAGTTGGTCCCTGCTTTAATTATTTACGCCCTTTATTTGACTCTCTATAAGACAGACATCTTTCTAAGATGGAGACTTAGGGCTGATCCCAAAGGTGTCTGACTTAGAGAGAGTTAAGTTATTTAGGAGGAGTTTTTGCACAGAGCCCCTCATGTAGGGGTGATTGCAAAGAAGCCTCAAGTGATTTCTGTTTTACTGCAAGGTTGACCTCCTCCTTTTTGTCTTCTGTTTGCTTGTGAAATGTTTTATTGTAAATAGAAAATATAAACTTACTATTTGTGCCCTGGTGTTAAAGTTAAAACAAGCTTGAGGACCTTCACTACTTTTTAAAAAGCTTTAAAAACACAAACATTCATTTTTTAGAGGGCCTCAAGGTTACTAGGTTCTGTAACTATTTTCCGTGCTACCCTCTTTAAATAATGTGTATTATTATTATTATTATTTCCCTGTTACACAGACCTAAAGGTATCAGAANATAAGTGGAGCGGTGGGAAACCTGTTCTTGTGAGGGGGGGGGGGGGGTGGGGGGTTGGGGGCGGCAGCCCAGAATTTGGTAGGGGGGGGGGGGGGGGTCGGTCTCAAAAAACAATTTTTTTTTAGCCTTAGTTTGGTCTAAAAATAAGCGGGGAGTTGCCAAACCCCCCCAGCTCCTCCCCTGGACCTGCCACTGTAACATAATTTATACTGTATCAGTAACTAAAATACCTTAATGGGGTCCTCAAAGTTAGGCAAGGGAGGTGCTCCTAATGCCGGCAGAACTGCGACCAAAGTAAGTACTATAGCAGTCACTGGAATGAAAATTGCAAGGCACAGAGCGATCACATCATGCCTGGTAAACCTAGATGGATAAAAATATTCCTTGTTAGCTAACAACCTCTTCATAGTCCCAAAAACTACACCATGGACATGCAATCAGAATTTGGTCACTGTAGCACAGGCATGTGAGGTTTCGTTGCAGGCCCAGTTTTAGTGCAATCATGTAAGAGAAGATCGATGTCTGAGAGCTGCTAAAACTGGGCCTGATCTAGGCATTCTTCCTGGAAGCTTTAAGGCCTCACCTGATAAGTACTTTGCCTCAAATAAATACCTTGTACACTGGTATTAGTTACCCTTCTCCAAAAAAAACATGCTGTCTATTAGATGCCTCACGTGACAAAATTGCTCAAAAATACTGAGAAATAATGAAATAGAGCAAAATAATTCAATTTATTCAATTTCCTGCTTGATTAACAAGAATTTACCCATATTACATCGTTTAATGTCAGGTTTTAATTAAAGATTCTGACATCAAAGTTGAGCTTAAAAAAAATAAGGATTTCTAAACTGCCCAGACATCTCAAAGGATAAACTGGATAGTCGTTATTAACTGTGATGATAATATTTGTCAAAAGCATATTAGCTTTGTGGAGTATTAGAATAAAATTGCTCTCTCTTTTAAATGCTCCCTATCTATTAAATGGACCCACTTGGGCTCCTAAAATCAAAAAGAAACCCCAGGAATCTACAAGATCATTAATTTTACAGTATATCAGGTGACATAAGGACTTTGGTCACTCTCCTGATTTAGTGGCTCATGTACACTTTGATTCACCTTATACTCTACCAAGAGCGTGCTTTCACTTTCCACAGGTTACTGCATGCCCGTTGCTATTAAAGTAACCTGCTGGATCTTGACAGATCAGTAGAATGTTATGCAAAAACAGTAGAATGGTCTAGAATGTCAAGATATGATCAGTAACTGATTTTATAACGATTTACTGTATCTGCATAGAGAAAGGGCACTGAGCCACTTCAAAATTATGCTCTACAAATTGTAACCTAACCATCAAAGACGTAACGAATACAAGAGAAGAAGGTTTGCGGGGGAGTATTTCCATGCATACAACGAAGGGTTGCAAAATAACTTTGTTTTTGGACACGATCTCCACAAGATTTTTTAGTTTTACATTATTATAAAGAATGTATTTTATACTTTACTGAAATATAATAAAAGACAGCGCACAAAAAGCTCCATCGACAGCTGTTCAAACAAATTAAAATCGACATAAGCTACTGAAGAAATACGGCACTGCTACATGTAGGCAAACAACAACATTGACTGAAGTATTTCCGAGATTCCTTACCCTTACGCAATGTCACTGACCTACCTTAAGTATGGAAAACAACTAACAGTAACTTTTCCCATATTCCTGATGAAATGAAAGCGTCAATCTTCGATATTCTTCTGGCTTAATATTATTTGCATTCGCACCAAAGTCGCCCAAGAGATAATACTTGATGTAAGACTGCCCAAAATGTCCCAAGCCACCGCCTAATGTTACTACCCAGGTTACCCTGGTTACTACCCCACCACCCGCCCCCCACCCCCAAGGTTAAAAAGGAATGGTGTCCACTCCACCGCGGTCAAACGTCTGAGCATGCGCGAGAAATTGCGCGGGGATCACTTCGTTCGATTCAAAAAACCTGCATGTGGCTGTGTCGACGGCAGCGTCTTCTTGTGAGTTAGAAGCGAAATTTTCTTTTTACTTCAATGAAGTTCATTGGTGATAAAAGGGACGAAGAAGAGGAACTTATAACATGAATTGTAAGTATGAGTAAATATGCATTTGTCTTAATATTCCCGGACTTGTTGGTTGTATTAATTTTGTTGATCAATGATCATGACGCGGTGCGCAGTGGATGCAAATCGTGTTGGCTGAAAAATCTAACCTTAAGATTGTATTATATAATACTTTTATACTAACACATGCTTGAATGAACACTTGGTTATTTCATTGAATACTAACCATACACTTTAGGTTCTGGCTTGTTCTGCAAAATACAACATTGTTTGGTTGCTCTCGTTGATGAACTCGTACATTTCATGGTTCTCTTTCATGACAGATGAAAGCTTGTTCTAACTTTTTACATCAAATTAGCTCACATTTTCTCGCAAAGAGTTAAGGTCTGTAATAAGAACAAGCAAAATCTGACGATAATAGTTATTAATGTCATTTCTGATTTCATCAAATAAACCTATGTTTTAAATCCCGGAAAACTTAAAACTTAAACTTACATGTAAGCTTATTGAAAATTAAGCAAACTTAACAAATGTTAAGGAGCACATGTTGTAGTTTGGGCTTATCATCGCTTTCACTGCCTTCAAGAAATTCTCGGTGTTTTCAACAGTTGTACTGGCAATAAGAGCTCCAAAATTACCATGCAAGTGGCTGTCGAACATCACAATATTTGCTCCATGTGCAACAAAACAAATTGTCATATCGGTGATAATAAGAATTGCAGATAGATTAGCTTCTTGAGTTAAACGTTGGAGGTAAAATGCTGCTGATGACTGGGGTACATTTATATCTTCACTGGTTAATGTGATGTCAAACGAATCTTCCATTTGAATTTGTCCAAAGTTTTGTCTAAGATGTTGGACAGCGTCATCAACAGCAAAATTAATTGCTCTTCCCCCAGTTAAAGTGTCATGTGTGGAATTTCCCTGAATGATGCAGGACATCACAACAGCAGCCCACACAGGTGAAATTTGTGTTGGGGGTGGTAGGTGTCCTATGTTGGCATGATAACTTTTTGCCAAGTACAATGCAATGAAAGTGCAAGCGTTTGACCCCCTCCTGCCATTCATAGTAGCCTGCGAAACAGACTGTGGAAAAAAAAGGAATTTGCTGCCTGCACTGTTCACTGATGTGATGTTGATGTTTTGATTTGCTTGTTGCGCTTGGTGATTGACTCCTTGGTCTTGGCAGTGTGGCTGCTGTGGATGTTGCTCTTGACATTCTTGTTGTTGTCCTTGTACTCTTAAACTTGGAGGTTGTGGGACAGTGACATTAGCTAAAGCATGATCTACAAACTGTTCCCATTCATCGGATTCATAGAAAATAGGTTGTCTTGAGTTGTTAGGAGTTAATTCTGTGTCAGGCTCTTCAGAGGATAAGTTGGATGTTTCTGCATTGGTAGTTGATGACGACGATTTAGTAGGTGTTAGTAAACTGAGATTAAAAGTATCAGCCAGCATGGCTACTTTCTTTAACAGAGGCTTAGTACAGATTGGACAGTTAGAGTTATTTCGAAGGTAACATTCTTGGTGGAAAGTGTGGCAGCAAGCTAGTCTTACAAATTGGTCAGTGTCTTGAGTTACAGCACAGTTGCTGTAGTCGCATAAAATGGCTGGATTTGGATACTGTGGGTTGCTATCCAGATGTTTGTACGAAAGAGGAAGAGACTTTGTATCAACAATTTCATTGAATGTTTGAAGATGGAATTTTTGTCTTTTGTTTTGACTTTGACTGGAAGGGTTGTCTGTAACCTGTGTAACAAAAATAATGTTTCTGTCAAACACAGAAGATAGTTTTAAGAAATATTAAGAATAAGACAGTGATAGTCAAGCTTTAATGATTCCTCCATTAATCTTCATAGTAGAACAGTATTAATTTTATTTAACTTTATCACATTTTCATTAGGTTTGCCATGTTTTTTTTAGCTGAAGGATAAAATATGAACTGTTAAAAATAATTTTTTCACTTCTTATATTTTGTAATATCGAGAGTTAGCCTTGTTAGTTTGCTGCTTCTTTAAGCTGAGCTTTCATCATCCATTTTCTTCACCTGTGTGCTTGACAGTGTTGGCTTAGGTATTGATGAGGTGACATTTATGCGGCTTATCCGTTGAAATCTAAATAACTTCGCTTTCATCTATTCAATTCAAACAAGAAGAAGATTTATGTGTAGAGTTACAAAATGATGCAGATACTTACCTTCTTAGACTTTCCAATATTTTGAGCAACATCCTGGAATAATTTCAAAAGCACCTCAGCAACTTTGCCTGTATAAGTTTTAGAAGTTCACATTAAGTGAGGCAAATCAAGACAATACATGTCTATAGCCATGCAAGTTTTTTTTCAGTATAAATTTGTGGCCATGGTCTAGAATGACAGCAACCTGTATCTTTGTGTTTTTGTTTTTGTGGGGTTTAAAAAAGAACTATGCAACTCATACACTGTAAAATATCTGCATGTTACGGTGTATCTACCAAAATCATTGGTCAAGAGTTTCTAGGAGAGAGTAAGACTATGGGAATTTTTAAATGAAGCTCCATTAATATCTGCAAAATTGGTTTTCAAGAGGCAACACTAGAATATACAAACAGCATTAAATATCTTAAATAATGTTACGGTAAAAACAATGAGGAAGAAATTTTCATTGTCACTGCCTGCATTAAGATCTAAGACTTCCACTGTCAATGTCATTCTTAAGGTTAATGGGTGATTGGTTTTTCTTCAACTTAGTTTTAAACGATGTCTTTTCTGGAATAAATTGGAATTAAGACTAAAGAGAAAGTTGTAGTTGATTAAGTTTTTAAAAAATGTATCGCTTTTCTTTTGAAAAGGGAATAATAAAGCTAGATACAGTTGTCCCTTGCAGTTGTGAAACACATTACCTGCCACAAGTTTCATGTTTTTTTCCGATTGACCTCTGGTGTATGGCCTCACAAAGGAAGAATGAAATTTCCTAGCAGTGTCAGAAGCAGCCAGAGAAATTGCTGTGTCATGTATCTCATCACCACTGTAATGTGTTGAAATGTGATTTCGTAACAATGAATGCCAGATTTCTACCTTCTTTTCTGTTATTATTGATAGCCATTGCTCTTTAAAGTTATAGTAGGCAGGAAAGTTGATCTTTTGGTGATACAAGTCACTTAACATGGATAGAGTAGATCTGTCATAATGATGTCGCTCCCAGATAATGAAAATAATGGCTAGACGAATCATGACATTTATGTACAGTTCCAGATTACCAGAGCAAAAAATGCTGTCATATTGAAAAAAGACCAGTGGCAAAATTTCTTCAAGTAAATTAACCAGGTACAGAAATTCAATATCTTTGCAGAACTTGAATTTGGCCAGGACTTTATGTCTGATTAACAACCATCCACACAAGGTTCCTGTAATAATGAGGCTTGTTCGAAAGGGTTTTGGTTTAAGTGGGAAGTCACTGGCAAAAACCTCCTTATAAAGTCTTGCAAAAACTATGTGGTGGCTTTTAATGACATCCTCATTTATATTTAAGCAGACATGAAAAGGTCCTTGTTCTGGAATAAGGGACAAATAAGGGTGTTCTTGGGAACTAGTTTCTGGTAGCTGAGCAATTATTTTTTTGGTGTAATACCAGGTTGGCCAATCTCCAGGCAGTGGAATAACAAATAATTTACAGAAATCATGAAGGGGAAGAGCAGAATGGAATGTATGGTTAAGTGCGGCCTTGTAATCCTCCATGCTTTTCAAGCCTGCCTCGAATTCGTCTATTAAAACGCAAGTGCTCAGGGTAAGAAGTTCATCTTGTGCCATGCCATTGTATACTCTAGAAATGAAAGTAAAAATATTGTTACTTGTGCACCATGATTGCAATTTAAGACTTTATATAATGCATACATAATGCAGGTCTATTGTAGAGAAAAATAAGTCATTACCTACTGGGTTTCTGGAACATACATAGTACAAGAGCACATGTACATGTAGTGTATTTCCAGTTGGGTGTGTTACTGTTTTTTTTTATTGTTTTTTTGTACCAAACAATTCATGCAAACCAAATCAACTTGGCAAAAGAAGACATAATTTGTTTTCTTCATGGTTCAAATGCTATTACAGTTTAGGCATTCACTGCGATTTTACCCACCACAGCTATGAAACCCTGTTAAACTGGACAGTTGTGGGAAAAGAGAAAACGTGAAACTCTTAATATACACCTGAACTGTTTGATCTGTTTTTGTATATCTTTAGCCTTCAGCTGCTGACATTGTTGGGGAAGAGAGGTTAGAAATGAGTGGTGGTGACTTTTAAGACTTTCTGTGAACAGTTCTTGTATGTATCTTTTTACAATACCACCTCTGCAAACAGTCTCCTGCCCTCTGAAAGTAATTTTCAAAACACTGTGGACACACTGTGCGTTGGGTTTTTTTACAGCTGGTATTTCCAGGTGAATGTCCAGTAGAACAGAAGCCATGTGTGTTGCTTTAGACAATTTCAGGTTGTCTGGCATTCTGATTGTGTGAATATTATGAAAATCATCCAAGAGGAGAATCATAGAAGTACCTTCCTAATAAAATACAATCATGAATGAATAGTCATAATAGTTAGGAGATATGTTTTGAACATAGTAATCAAGTTGTTATCATGTTACATTCTTATTAGTCTGTGAACAGGCTCTCTGTTTAGGGAAAGGGTGAAAAAATCTTGCCTTTCCCCAAACAAAGAGCCTGTTCACAGGCTACCTTCTTATATGTGATAGTCCAATTTCTTTAACCTCTTACTGAGTTGTCAATAGATAATCATACATTAAATGCCACTAAAGTGTTCAGGTTATCAAACAATATTAAATTTGTCATTCTAAAAATTGTTGTAGTATTTGTAAATTTTCTTTCATTTAATATGAATAATAAGGCACCCTGATTCCAGTGGTTTGGCTGTTTTTAAAACATTACTGTGTAGCCTACATTTTTGTATGCTTTCAATTTATTTTATTTTAGAAATGGATTTGTACTTAATAAAAGTTATCAGGTATTTACATATTCAGTTGCACCTTAACTGACTGTTCTATTTTTTGCTTTAACAAGCTTGGATACTGCTGCCGTAAGTTGATGTTGTGCCTATCAATTGATCTTGGTGCTACTGAAAAGCCAAAGATAGGGCCATTGTTCAAGCCAGCTCTTGAAAGGCCATGTTGGTGCATGTACAGACCCAGGTCTTTTTGCAAGGGACATGACTTCTGGGATCTAGACAAGATGAACAACAAAATAAGAATTTTTTTTTTACCCCATGATCTCATTAGAGGTCAGCATTGTTTTCTATTTCATTCCTTGCCAGATACCTAAAATATGTCATAATATGGAGAAGAGCAACTGTTCTTTGCTCCTGCAATGTTTTCCTGTCTTCTGACAGCCTGGAGTCGTCTCGAAGAATTGAACTGAGGAGGACATCAAACAAGCCTGGCGCATAAATCTCGGAAAACTTCCTCATATCTTCTGCATTGTATAATGGTTGGCCACTATTTTCATAGTGGCTGCTGAGGGCCTTCTGAAATGTCTCCATCATCTTCTCAAACGAAGGCTCTAAAAAATATAAATTTCTTCAATGTTAATTTTATTAGCACTTGATTTAAATCATGTTATGTGTTGTTGGAAAATCTTTTGAGAGATAAAAACATTGGGCATTGGGCTTAATGAGTTGAAAGAGAGAGGGATGTAAATTTTCTGATTTTACTCAGGAAAGTTTCTTCTGTACTTAACCTTTTTGGGAACTTGACGTTTGCTGAATGTCCTTGTTTTTCTGTGGTGTTGGCTGGTTCATTACATTTTCCTATAGAAAAATATTTTTGTTTATATTATTTGTCCATCTGGTTTAGAATAAATTGTTATTATTATTATTTTTAAAAGAAGACAGTGAATTAAAATTGATGAAATTATAATGTTATTTAGTGTGCTTTACCTTATTTTCTGATGTCACTTTTTTTTGCTTCCTCGGAGTGAACATGGGGTGGGACGCGAATTCTTTATCTGCGAGGACTCTGCATTTATTACACCAGTTTGACCCAGGTTTGTATTCGGTAACGCTGTTTCTGCCCACCTCGTCAAATACTCTATACAGCCTGTCAGGGATCGGATGTTTTGATAAGCTTTTACCGTGTCCCCACGAAGATGGGCAGGAGCAGCGTTTGTCCTCGGCAAGTATCAAATTTCTGTGGCTTAAACAAATCCACGATCCCTCCGGTATATCTCCAGCTCTCGATAACGCTTTATCCACTCTTCTGAGCTGCTGTTGACTACACTTTTTTCCTGTCCGTGTTCTCTCTTCCTTTACACATCTGCTTCCGGTGGTCACGCTCAGCATCAGCGACAGTAAACAAATCTCGGCGACGACAAGCTTTCGCATGTCGGCTCTTTTACCACGAAGAACTTTTTTAGTGAATGTCGAAAAAATTTAGTGAACTTGGTGAAGAAAGAAAAATTATCGAACTATCAACTGTAAAAACAAAAACCTTCACTTTTCAGTATTTTGCTTAACTTTAGCAAATTTCTCACCGTCGTTCAACTTTTTTTCGCGTGACGCCGGTTTCTGCAATGGTTTCAATTAAATTTTCGCGCGGGAAATTTTCGCGGCCGGCGACCGGGTACGAGTGCATTGCGCATGCTCGTGCGTTTGACCGCGGTTAAGGTGTCCACACCCCACCTTTTTGAAAAGACGCAAGAGGAGTGGAGCAGGGCGGATAAAGGTTGGGCGGTGAAACGAGCGCGTCCGAGCAAAAAGGTGTGATGCAGTAGACTGGGACTCTGCTTAGAAATGTCGCTTGTTTTCGACTTCGGTCAGGGCTTACGATGTGGTTTGTACATTAGACACTGCCGCTGTCACTGAATTATGGCAGCTTGATTTGTTTTCTTGCACTTCTTCCTTGTTTCTTTGTGCTGGTACGCTGTCTCCGAGAGGCAAATTTTGCTATTTTTTTGCGGGAGGTTTAGTTGGACTAGACAAACATCTCTTTCAAAGGGTTTCTTTTATTACTTCCATGACTCTACCACTGAATTATATTTTCGTTTTGCTACTCGCCAATGTCGATGTTATTCCAAAACAAAAACAACTAAGTATTGTCTAAAACACGAAAGAAAATCTCATCCGTGGCAAAACTAAAAGACAGTAGATCGTGCTTCATAACTAGATGACGTGTATTTTATAAATGCGTGCAGCTCGTGCAAGGTGAAATTATGCTAATTTCAATCACCATCATCCTTCTTTTTAATTTAGAAAAAAACATCTCATACGTCTTTCTGTTTCTTCGAAACTTCAAAGTTAGTTTCCCCTTAGTTTTTACTGTTTACCTTCTTTTGTTTTAGAGAGAAAAACGGAGAAAAAACCTTACAACTAACCTCAATAAATTTTGTTTACATGCGGTTGCCGGATTTGCAACGCATTGCGCGAATCGCCATGGCGCATTGCATCCGACAAGCAAAGTTTGAAGAAGTACAACGCCACTATATCAATATATATCAATCTAATTTTTTGTTATGTTATAAAAAATTTATCCTCCTTTAACATATGTAAAAATTGAGGTTAAGAAGTGTTAAGCTTTTGCAAACGAAACGGCGAAAGACGATTAGGTGATATTTAGTGGAAGGACGAGGTATTCAACACTTTCAAATTAAACTCAAATTTTGGCATTATACGACCAACAAGTTTGACTTATAGACGTACAGACACAAACACATGAAACTGTTTATTGATATTGTTATGAAACGAATTTATCTATTTAACATTGTAGCCTGAAATTACAGAAAGAAAATAGGATTTCCGGTTTGCAAAAAGGAAAATTTCGCCGGCCTTCAAGCGCACCGGAAGCGCGGAAAGAGCGCTCGTGCCAGTCCTACTCCGCATCACACATTAAATGAAGAGCGGAGCGCTCGTTTCACCGCCCAACCTTTATCCGCCCTGGAGTGGAGAGGTGTCGACCGCGTTCTTCAATACGCCGAGCGATACGCACTTTTATTTGAGCGTGGAGCATCAAGCGTTTATGGAGGAAAAGGGTAATAGAAAAAGAGAAGAAGACCTGAGACTCAGGCCAAGTACATAGTACTATGTTATGAGTTGATAGACCAGCAGTGCAGAAGCCTAAATATACCTTTAAGAACAGAAAGGGTTCGCAATTCATTTCGAATTCCATAAGGTAACTGACTACGGCGGCCCACATCTGCCAAAGCAAAACTTACTTTTTCACTGCTAAATACGACAAAACTTTCCTAACTAGTTCCACCAGACCAAAACATGAAAGACCCAGTCTGCTTGCGTGCGTAAGTTTCAAGGAAAAGCAAGCACCTAGTAAATAATGTTTTCTTGGAATAGGGCCATATTTCTGATCTTTTCTTTGCTCCTATAACGAGAGCAAAGATTGGCATTCACGATACAAACAAAGAAACAAACCGACGTTTAACTTTTCAAAATTCTAGCGACTGGAAGACAAAATCATTAAAAGACCTAACCATCTTCTCTTTTCCTAGAAAAACTAAACACTGAATAAAATAACCTTATTTCCATGTCTAGTTTTCTTCAATATCATGATATTTTTTTTAATCTCTTTTCTTAGTTTTTAAATTTTGTAGTTCTTAGGTAAGAGATCAGCATTGTTAATTATTCTTTTTTAGTATTCATTATTTGGAAGCCCCACTAAAACTGCACGGTTATTTCTTAGCGGTATGCAAATTTATCGGACCCTATTCAAATGGTCCAATTATTTACACAACCAAACTTTTATAATGAAAAGCTCAATGAAAATGAAAGAACTAATGAGAAAAGCCTGTTTAAAAAATTTCAAGATACTCATAATGGGTCGCAACCATACAAAATATTTTGCCCGGCAATAATCCTATAATGCTGTGGCTTCAATTCAAGTTGAATCTGAAGCCACAAATGATATAGAGGGTAGATTTTAAACCCATATATTGACATTGAAAAGCAGGTGGCCTGAAAGATAAAATAAGTATTGCGTTCATTTGTAGCTTTGAAATGGTTATTTGTAAATAGTGGTTCCTGAAAATTCACGGACCAGTCTTGTTTTCAAAAACAAAGGAAAATTTTTTTTGCTATAGATAAAATGAGTAGAAACGCAATTGAGAGGAATGAACTGCTTCTAGCAATGAACAAGGAATGACTTGAAGGAAAGAACAGAAGTATGTGGCACCCTTTCGTCTTCTAATCAGCATTTGCATATTGCCGTCCGTTTCTGTTTTCTTTTTCTTCTTTATGTGTATTCGTTTTTTTCTTTTTGTTGTTGTTGTGGTGGTTTTTTTGTAAAGGTTGATGTCTATCTGATTAATTCTATCGTTACGTTCGCTCAGAACAAAGATTTTTTTTAATAGCGGCCCTGCAATGGCCGAATGAATGTTATGCTTAATTCAGTGGCCCATGATCAGTTTTCTTTGCAAATTGTACATATACAGCTATGTTTATCTCTTTGACACTATGAATTTAACTCCAGTGTTTTACGTTTCGTCTATAGCGTATCTTAATGTTATCCCTCAAATCAGGCAGAGCGATTTTGCTTAGCCAGACCTAATTTTTAAAAAGTTGTGAACGCTAATATACGTTTTCTTTATCCAAGCATTTGAAATGCGTGTGCCAGTCGCCGCAGATTACAGTGTAGCTGTTTCCCGAACTCGATCCAGCCGGTTCTCATTTAAGTGGAGCTTGGAAAATGATAAGAACTAAGCTATTTTAATATACCTGACTGCTCGATTTCTTTTATGGCCAGAAGTTGGCGTTCCAGCCATCTTCGTTGGTTTAAGAATTTTCCAGATTGAGTAGACAATGCGGCGTCCTTTCGATCGCGAGACAGCCTAGCCTTGCCTTTTCTCAGTCTTGTAAGAGGTTCGGGTGTCCTGAGCGGTTTGAGTGAAAAGGCTAATAAGTTACCGCAGTCTCTAGACAGCGAAAACGGAAAAAATATATTATCCAGTTTCAGTCCCGGCGGTGAGTCATCAATACACACCTGGAAATATTAAGGATTACAGGTTTAAGTGGACGTTCCAATCAAATGACGAAGGCTGACATCTGTTGCCTGAAATGAAAAAACAATTTCTTTTTGAAGATAAAGCCGTTAGTTGCGTAATTACGACAACTGCTTTTCCAATCTGCAGGACTGAAGTTAAAAAAGAGAAAAGCTTAATATTCTGTTAAATAACTTAAAGTAATGCGGGAGGGGCGCGGGGTGTGGCGCTACAGGCGCTTGAGGGGGTTGACCGTTTGAGAACAAGAGAGAACAATTACGATCATGGCCCGTTTTATCTTTTTTTTACGCTGGACGCTGGTTTTACATTAAATCTCCCCAAGATGATTACGGATCCATTAAGAGGGGACGACCTATCGCGAATTGAAACACACAAGACAACTGATTGTCACTTCAGAAGTCACAGTCAGTTTTTTTGTACATTCTTTTTGCCAATGGCACCCGATACGTATACCGGCATCCTAACGCGCGCAATTCGCGTCCGAAATTCGTCGTTGCGGCTATGGAGGAAAATGTGGATCACGCATACTGTGACTTTTGATACGCACAAAAAGTTCGAAGGTGGGGAGGGATGTGGCTGTCTCTTGTAAAAGCACTACTATTCTAGAATTCAAACGGTTGCACATTGGTATGTGTGATTACTTATACTGGTTTATTCTCTCTTGTACAAGTACATGTTTAACTTTAGCTCCATCGTTTTTTTTTTTTTCAAATTTACATCGTGTTCAGCTTTTACTAGTAACGTCAATTTAGCTCTTTCACATAAGGAGCAATTTATATTTTGAATAGATGTACTGTGAATAAAACGGTTTTAGTCATCATCATCATTTATATAATATCATTCGTCATCATCATCATCATCATCATTATTATTATTATTATTATTATTATTATTATTATTATTATTATTATCATTACTATTATCATTTTTATTATAACCATCATTATTAATAAGTATGATCTTTGAAGATACATCAAATAACAAATTTGCGGAATGTATGAACGACGGGAGATCGGATCAGCCAAAATATATACCAAGTGTATGAACAGCTCGATCTGCAGAGTTGTTCACTTGAAGATAAACTTGATCCGAAAGGCTCAGCTATTTTCTCTTTCTCCACAACAAGCTCAGTAATTAAATGTTGAGAAAAAGGGTTAGGGAAGAAAACCGTTCGTCACCTCTGAGATCATGTTCTCGTTATCGCTTTTCGGATTAATTCATATATCATTTTTGTGTTTGACGTAATATATCAAACATGAGATGCAGTGTTTCATCACCAGATGAAACACCGAGAAGAGAGTTGAAAATACGACGCGCAGCGGAGTATTTTTGACGAACTTCGAGGTGTTTCATCTGGTGATGAAACACTATGTCGAATGTTTGATATTTCTTCTCAAACAAAATCATTTTTGAAGGAGAAATTAAGGATGCAAATACTAAGCAGTGTTTCATCCGATTTCCAAACACTCATTAAACATTAACTTCCTTTGTATTTTCTTAATGAATTATTAATGAGTTTGAGAAAGAAAACTGAGGTACCCATTTCTTATACCTTTCATTGGCAAGTGGTACCTCTTTCACATATTTAGAACTTGCATCTATTTTAATTGCTGTTGATGCACTTTCTTTTTTAAGATTCTTCTTTACTCAGGTAAATTAAGGCATGGGCCTCAATTTGCCTTAATTTCCTCTCTTCAAAAGTGAGGGAGTGGTCTATATCTAAGAGCTTTAGATGAAGAGACATAAAACTTTGCCAGCTAACCACATTTTTAGTTTGTGTCAATTTTGTGCTTTAAAATTATGCAAATTAGGTCACGTGACCTCCATCGGCTGAAAAAGGTTGTTCTTCAAACGGCAACACTTTTTCGTGTGTCTTCAATTATTTTACCGGTTGCATAATGTTAATGCCGTGTAATGTGTCACTTCTGTGCTTGGCCTTTTTTAGATATTTAAAATCGAAGGCGTTAAGATGGGATACAATTGCATTGGGGGACTGGGTCTAGTTGAAAAAGCCGTTTATTTTCTAAAACAGTAAAAAATTCAAAAAAGGCCAAGCACAGTCTTGTAGATGCTTGCATTACACATTGTCCTAAACCAGTCCGGTTTAATAACTCACAACAAAAAGTGTTGCCATTTTTGTTTAAAGACTTTTTATTGTTTTCTGGCCGTGTGGAGTCACGTGACAACATTTGCATAATTGAACATCGCCTAATTGACAGAAACCACACATGTATGTATCTGGCAAAGTTTCATCTTTCTACTGCTAACGTGCTCAGAGATAGACCACCCCCCATCACTTTTTTACTGAATCATTGGGGACCCATGCCTTAATTTACCTGAGTATCCCTTTTTGGTCATTTTACAGATTTCCCTTCCCTGAATATGCGTCCGCAGTGAAACCCCTACCTTTTCATATACCTTAAGCTTGAAAAACGTAGAAACTTTTATAATTATCAGAATAATAACGGTATGCAAATCTTACTGTTTTAACAAAGACCAATTAACTGTAATAACAAAAAAGCAAAGAACAATTTTAAGTATTTCGGATATTTCGAACGGTCAAGCCGTTCTTCTTCGACTTTCCGTTTCTACAATAAATCCCTTGAAGAAGAACAGCTTGATAAGTTCGAAATATCGAGAATACTGAAGTCGTTTTACGTAGAGACTTCTCAAACTTTACCTTCAATTCTCTTCTTCATTGCTGTTGCATATTGCATTCAATTGCTATTTTTGTTCTTTGTTGTTCTGTGTTGTTTTGTCACTACCGTTAATTGAAAAAGCAGGAACCCTTTGTGCCGGAGCCTCCCCTTATAGGCCGTTAAAGAGAGTACCCCCCCCCCTCCCCCCACGGCCCGGTAGACTAATTTACAAATCCTTATGCAGATACAAGGCGTGATAAAAATGTCAACCAACACTGCTTTATCTTGAGCCTCACCCCACCTCACCACACCTACCACCTCCCCCGCTCCCCCCCTCCCCCTCTTCCCCGCCTGAAATCCCCCGCCCCGCATCATTACGGGCCCGACTGTCTACGGGCCCCAGCAGGAGAGCTGTTGTGCAGGTGCCATTACTGAGGAAGCATGGGCCGAGCTGTTACATGAAAACGAGTTTGACTGTGACACGTCCTTAACCCCATTCATCTATTTCATCTGTCTGTCTTTCGCAATTCTTCGGTAACAGTTTCTATTTTGCTTCGTAGGAAACTAAGATCCAAAATGGAGAACGATGAGATGAATCACTCTCCACAAAAGCGTCGTAAACAGACCCGTGTTTGGACGGATGGATGCTTTGATATGGTCCATTTCGGTCACGCGAACGCCCTGCGCCAAGCCAAAGCCATGGGCGATGTTCTTGTTGTGGGTGTTCACTCCGATGAGGAAATTAAACGGCACAAAGGCCCTCCAGTTTTTAACGAGCAAGAACGATTCAAAATGTGCAAAGCGATCAAGTGGGTCGATGAAGTTGTTATGGACGCGCCGTACGTGACGACCATCGAAACTCTTGACAAATACAACTGTGATTTTTGCGTTCATGGAGATGACATCACGTTGACTGCTGATGGTAGAGACACATATGAGATGGTGAAAGTAGCTGGGCGATACAAAGAATGTAAACGTACAGCCGGAGTGTCCACCACAAACCTTGTGGGTAGAATGCTTCTGATGACTAAGGAACATTTTGATAGGTGTCCATCGCCTATTACAAATATGAACCCAGACCAAGTGAGTGGGGCCAGTTCTGATCCAACTGCTAAGAGCCCCTGGACTTGTGTGTCCCATTTTCTTCCAACCTCCCAGAGGATTGTCCAATTTTCAGATGGAAAGGAACCCAAGCCTGGTGACAGAATAGCATATGCCGCAGGTGCCTTTGATCTTTTCCATGTGGGCTTGCTGGATTTTCTCGACGCAGCAAAAAAAGAAGGAGACTATCTTATAGTTGGTCTTCATACAGATCCAGTTGTTAATCGTTACAAGGGAAGCAACTTTCCAATCATGAGTTTGCATCAAAGGGTTCTTAGTGTACTGGCTTGCCGTTATGTTGACCAGGTCATTATCGGTGCACCATATAAAGTTACCAACGAGTTGTTGGAGCAATTTAAGGTATGGCAGTATGCATTTGTTTAGAACCTTTTAAATCTCGTTATTCACTAGACCCTATGTTATTTAATAAACAGTCGAAGCTCTCATAAGCAACCACCTCGGAAATTCAAAAAAGTGTTCATAACTATAGCTTGTCGATTAAGAGAATGAGTTCTTGTAAGTGACTGTAAAACAATAGAGGGTGGTTGCTTACGAGAGCTTTAGAAACTTATTAATAATTCATAATGAAAAAACAGAAGAAATTAAGACGAAATCCACTACAAAATTTAGTAATTATAATATTCAGTTGACAAAAACCTTGTACCAGAATAATTTAAAGGATATTGCACCTTTTTTTTTTACATTTTTGAAGGGCTAGATATGTAATTAGTCATCTGTAATAAATTTCCCGAACAAGTCATGTTTTGACCTTTTCGGATGCAAATTTCAAATGATTTTCGTAGTCTGGTATCTCTCGTGGGAATACACTCTCACTATCAATGAACATTGCCTGTTCGTCATGTTTATTACCATCATTTTCCTTCACCATTTCTGGGAAAACAATGAACTATTGCCACTGCACAGGCCTGAAAAATAAAAATGGTTCCTTGTGTCTTCATGACAGCTTTTTTTCAATACATAAAAGAACATGTTATAAGCTTGAATGCACTTTTATATTTTGTCACATTACCCCAACACTCCCTTGCAGCAATTTAAACGGAACTGTACACATTTTTCTAGGTAAACCTGAAATGTGGATGAACTCGTCCACTTCCATGAGAAATAATACTTATTTACTGACTTTGCAGGCAAACTGTGCAACCATTTGATGAGAAAAATGTGATAACAGCTGACTAGCTCTGACTATTAAATTTGTCTTTTTGCAAGAAAGCCTGTCAAAAGTGTTGACCAATCAGAACATGTTTTCAAAACAAAACCAAATGAGCATGTTTCATCGAGGTTGACAATGGGCCTTTAAAAGCAAGGGTTTTTTTTTTTCTAAAAAGAAAATGTTACAGAAAATTGTGCTGAATTTACTATGAACTCCAAATGACTTGGATTCATGGCCTGTTTGAAACATTGAGCTTGCTGTGCTACACGGCAGTAGCACAACTTGGTTTCAAATGTCTTGCTACTGCTATGCCAAACTCAATTCATGAATAGTGATTAAAAATATGTTAGTCAAGGATACCTTTTAAAAGTACACCAATGCCAAACCGCTCTTTTAATTTAAAATTTTGTTTTCTTTATCAGCGTTTTCATTAGACTGAGTTAATTATGATGTCTGAAACCAATTCATGCAACAGTCATGCTGAAGTCAAGCCAGCTTAGAATGGCAGTATAATGACTTGTGAAACAGGCCTTACTGCAACAGCTACCAACAGTTTAGTATTCACATAATTTGAACTTTTGGCTTATTGTCGGTAAAAATGCAATCAACCATACTTTGTTGCTTTGAATAGGCATTTCTTGGTCTTGCAAAAACTATTGTTGGTTCACTTCTGTTTTTTGGTCTAGGTTTTGTTTTGTGTCCTTCAAATATTTAGTATTACATTATGTCATTTGGTGATTTCACTGATCCACAATACCAAGAAACCACCCTTTGAATGAGGTTATGCTAGGATTTCAATCTTCAGTTGAAAAGTGGACTTCTATTCTAAAAATGCAATCCATTTTTAACTAGTGTATTGGGACTGTCATTAAGGGCCAGGAGCTGGGGATTTGCCCTCACTACCATGAGCATGACCCTGGCTACTTTGAGAGGAAACAAGAGGAGAATACTTGTTTTCAGTTTTGTTTCATTGTCATTCTGCCATATAAGTTAAATAAATGCATAAAATTAAAAAAGAGATGAGGCATTAGGGAGCCCAAGGAAGCCAATAAAGCGTACGAATAGGACCACCTTTAAAAATTTTATTACCTAATTAATGATGGAAAGAGAAAGGAAAAAAGGGAGGGAATAAAAGAAAGAGAAAATGGTGGGAGGGAGGGGGGTGATTAATCGAGGGAGGGCTATTATTCAAGGAAATACGGTAATTGACCAATCAGGTCAGTAACCAGACTTAAATACTATCAACTGACGAGATACAACTCACCTTGGCTAAGAAGATGATTACTGCGCCGGTTGTCAAAGTGTTATTTACTGTTTACAACAGCCTTATTCAGGACTACAAACACCAAAACAGTCATGTTTGACTTACTTAATGATGTTCTATGTTAGCTGAAGTGACATATAGTCAAGTGAAGCATAGTAAATGGAGGTGACTGGTTATGAAGCCCGGCAAACATCAAAGGAGCAAACAAAGATGCCAAGATTTATGTTAGAAGGTCCACGACCCTGCACAATCTTTTGTTTTGCGTTCATACGTTATGCATGAATTACGATTGGTTAGTTCCTCAGTACGGAGTAAACAACTATTGTGTTTTGTGCAGGGTCAAGGCCAAAAAAGAGAACAAAAACATACAACAAAGAACTTTGTCGGGTTTCATAACCATTCCCTCTATTAACTATGAGTGAAGTAATCTATAATTTTTTTCTTTTTCTGTTTAGGTTGATGTGGTCCTCCATGGGGAAACCAGAGTCATGCCTGATGAAGATGGTACAGATCCATATGAAATTCCAAAGAAAAAAGGCATTTTCAAGATTGTTCCTAGTGGTAACTTTCTAACAACTCATGACATTGTTGAGAGGATCATTAAAAACAGGTGTGTTCAATAGCTAGATATAATTAAATAGACATAATCCTCTCAGAGGACGTGAGCTTACTAGCAATGAATAGTCTGTCAGAAAAAAAGGGCAATGTTGGGTACCAATATTCCGAAGCATAAATGTTTAACACTGTGTGCTATAAGGACAATTTTTTTCCAAAGAGAAAATTAAATTATTTAATGGTTTGTTCCACTCAAAGTACCTTGTTTTTTCAACACATTTTTTTTCTATTGCCAACGTGTTTACTGTGTATTATATGTGGAAAATGTATGTAACGAAACATCCCAACAAGTGACAATGAACCGAATGTCCATCAAAAACCACGTGCTTGCAAAACAAAATCGTTCTTCAAGGCAGTCACGTTGAGTAGTGACTTCTAAATTCCACATGTACTGTAGCCCATAAGTTTGGTTCTGCGGCCACAGGCAAAGTTAAACTTCTACAGATATGGTTCTGGGACTGTTGTAATTTCTGGCCAAGATTAAGCATTCAAATGTTGTAACAAATTACCAGATTAAAGATGAAATTTTAAGAAAACTAGTGTTTTGAATTTATGCAAATTTGTGACATTTTAATGGAATGGTTACATACTAAAGTTGATAGATTCGTGTTTGCATTTTCTCACATTGTGATTTTCAATGTTTAATACTACAGATGATTTAAAAAAATATTGATTACTAGTATAACTCAATCAAAACTTAAAGCAATAAATGAATCACAGAATGGATAGAAATAGCAAAGAAATTAAACTGGCTAAATTCAATTTGATAATTATCATAAGAAAGCATGTTTCTTGTAATATTGTTATTTGAAAGGCCATTCCTCACGAAAGCAAACACCTTATGTTTTTGGAAAAAAGTATAACAAAGAAATATTACAGTGAGAGAGATTATTTGAAACATTTGGACTAGTAACCAAAGGTCATAGGTTCAACTCCTACTCAGATTCTTTCTTCTGTCCTGTCTGTCTCACTGATTGAAAAATCATCTTTCTCATGTATTTAGCAGGCTCAAAATTCACCACAACATCTCTATCATTGCATGTAAGCACGTGTATCAACCTTCTATGTTATAGTCTGTAGTCGTAGCAGTTTGCAGGATATTTGTCATATGAACCTAGTTTAGTGTCCTCAGCTCCCATGAGTCATCTATAGCTTAGTGGTACAGTATCTGGACTAGAAGCCAGAAGGTCATAGGTTTCAACTTCTATTGGGAGTACTCAGATTCTTTTTTCTGAGCCGTCTGTATCACTGACTGAAAAAATCATCTTTCTCATGTATTTACCAGGCTCAAAATTCACTACAACATCTCTATTATTGCATGTAAGCACATGTTGACATTCTGTACTAGCCCTTGCACTTTGTAAGATGTTGGTCATATGAACTTAGTTTAGTGGCCTTAGCTCCCACAAGTGTCCTATAGCTTAACGGTAGAGTATCCGGACTAGAAGCCAGAAGGTCATAGGTTCGACTCATATTGGGATTACTTGGATTTTTCTTCTGAGCCATCTGTATCACTTACTGAAAAATCATCTTTCTCATTCATTCACCAGGAGGCTCATAAAAATTACATTATGTATAAATTTACATGTGCATGTAGCACACGTTTGTCAGTCTGCCCTCATTTTTTTAACCCTTTAAGCCCCAATATCCACATACAAATTCTTCAAACTGATCTCCATACATTCCCTCAAAGAATGAGTTGAGAGAATTTGATAATAGATCAAAGCATTTTCTTCTTAGGTGATCATTTTCGTAATTCTCATAACGTAATCTCTTGACATTGTATGGATATCGTTAGGAGAATATTGATGTTGGTCACTATTAGGACTTGAAGGGTTAAGGTCTTTCTCCATAATTCCCCCTGGACCTGCCACTGATTTATGTAGGAGAATCAAAATTGTTGTGGGTTATTATAACCTAAGAAAATAGAAAACAGTACCTTTTTGCATTTTTAAATTTATTTATTGAAGGACAGAAATGTGAAAAAATACAGAGCCATAACTATTATTACAAAGGCAAGACTTAATAATAGTCATTTTTTTCCATATGTGGTAAATGCCTCAGCCACATATTTTTAAACTTACATTCAAGAAATTAATTAAAGCTTTAAAATTTTTAACAAGACATCTTCCTTGTCTGTCTGCATTTCTGAAAGATAAAGGGAACTGTTGATGCAGTTCTGAAATACAGTGAAGAGTGCTTATCTTGTTTTGCCATCTTATACTTTAGGAGTCAATACTTTGGCATTTCAAAGAAGACATAAACTGACAGAAAGTCATTTAACAATTTTGTTAGCTTTAGTTGCTAGCAGCTAATGCAAAAGATATTTCCCCCTTTTATGTGGAGTTTTGTAAAGTGAGGTCTTTCACAAATTCAGCAAAATTTACCAGAGGTCATCAGTCAACCACCACTCGCTAATTTGAAGCCACCTAATAGACCCTTCCATGGTTATTCAACTTTTGACTTGGTCCAGTTAGCAAAATCTGTCAACACAGTTAACACGAATGCCTTAAAATTAGTAAAAATGCCAAGTTTAAATGTGATTTGTTGAAAACTAACCACAATATACAGTAGTTCCGCAAAGTCACCATATTTTACATATGTTTGTATGGTGCGGGTCAAATTCGTGCCCCCACCATTAACACTTTCACTGCCAGAGTGTTTGATGGAGTTTTGTAAGGTGACTCTAACTTTTGAGTCTGTGGACAACATCCTATGATGTGACCATTCAAATGAAAGCTCTCTGCCTGTACTTACACATGGTGCTATTTGTTTGTCAAAATTTTACGAAATGAAATTTGGAAATCTGGTTGAAATTTGCCTTTGGCTACATTTGGCAGTGAAAGGGTTAAAACATCTGTAAAATTTTGAGACTTGCCATATTTTGGAGCAATATCTTTGCTTACCCTTAATGTATCACCTTTTAGGAAACTTGGTAAGTTTGCTAATTTTAAGGCACTCTTTCTTGCAGTATAAATGAATGTTTGATAACTGGTCTTTATCAAAACATGAAAATAAAACCATGCTAGAGTCTATTCCAGTTGTTTTGTGGTTGACCTCACCTTCTTAAATATTGTAGAGATTTAATCTTTCATTTGGATCTGTAGTAACTTAAAACTATTGCATTTTTTTGTGCCTTTTAGAATGACATTTGAAGAAAGAAACAAGAAAAAGGAGAAAAAGGAGGCAGATGTTTTTGCAGAAATGCAGAGAAGAAAGTCTCAAAGCCAAGAGAGAAAAGCTCTTGAAGAAAAGGAGAACAATTAAGTCAACTCGACATTTTTGCTCTTTAGGACAGGATCTTTTGATGAAATTCTCTACTAGTCCCTTGGCTTATAGAGCTGAATCTTGACTTTGTCGTAATTATAATACATGTATCTTCTAGAAGCAGACTATTCATAATAGGATCTGTTTGCTTCCTATAGTGTTTCCCATGTAGTTATATGTGGTTCAAATAATTCTGGTGCGTGACAAACACAGACAGCAGACCTGCTCTTACAGATTTCCTATCCCTGAAACAAGCCTTTAGAAGATTTAAGGGTTAGGGATAGGGAATCTGTTTGATTTTTTCACAACAATGTTTACCTTGTTTACATGCTAGTCTGAAAGTCTGCAGTCTGCGTTTGTCACACATCGAGTTCAAATCAGGGGAAGGGGTGTTAGGTGGTCATTTTTGGCCTGAGCTTACTAAGATAAATAATTATTAATTAAGTTATAACTGCAGCTAAAATTTGTCAGGCTCTTTTCTTGTAACTCAAAAAAAAAATGGCCACCTGAAAAAGTTTATGAATGCTGATTGTGACTAATCACAATGAAGACGAGGATGCACAAGCAGGCCATATAACCACATAACTGGATCAGTTTAGGTTTCTGGAAAACTGCCATGCCCCTCTCCTAAACTAACATTTTGCCCTGAGTGAGAAGTAAGTGTTAATGTTGGCTTAGGGGAGGGGTAGGTGGGCAGTTTCCAAGAAACCTAAAGTGATCCAAACTTATTACCATTGCTGCTTCCAGCTTAGTTTTACCTGCCTTTTTGGCTTTTTCCTTGCAGCATCATAGCACTCCAGAAACATTTCTGGTGTTTTCATTTTTTAAAATAGTATTTTAGTTAATTACATGTTGAGGATAATAATATTATTGTTGTTCATGTGGTATTTATGGGTAACTTTAGTGCAGTTTCTTAAAAGAAATTGCAGCAGGGTCTTTCAGGGAATGACCAATTCTTAATTCATTATATCTAGTTTTGTCCAGTATTTGTTTACCAGTCCTGGTAGTTAAAACGCTGTATAGGACGATTCACCCAATAAATTACTATCCAGCGGATTAGTATTGTGAAACTAATTGTGTTATTCGTTGGATTAAGATTTTAGTTAACAACCTTATCTTTCATTTATTTTGTATAATTTGTGAGTTATTAATATTTGTCCATTTAGTTATTATCATGTTCATTGGAAAACTTAATTCACTAGTAGATATTAATCCAATATATTTGAATGAGCCTGAACAGGATGTGAAAAATTTCGCAGCTTGAAGAGGAAGTTTTGGCCTTGTTGATAACAGCCTCTGAGATCTGCATAATTTTTCACATTGTACGAAAGCTGTTTTATTATCCATTGAAAATATGAAATTTTCTAAATTTTTAACAAGCTTTCTTCCTCAGCGACTTTCTTCAAAACATTGGCCTGTTCCTTGGCATGGGTCCAGGATTAGAAAAGATGTTTTTTCTGGCAGCTATTCCTCAAGGTAGATTACATCCCTCTAGGAATAATTATTTTTGGTGTATTTTGCGTTTCTTCTGTTCACTTTTAGTCAGAAATTTTAGCTTTTTTTCTTTGGTAGCTGTGAACTGTTTCGACACTAGTTTGAGTTCACTTGTGCATAGATAGCTAGGCTGCCACTCTACAGACTGAAAACAAGGTTATTATTTTATATCGGGGCGATTTGTACCATCGTACAGTGGTGGTTATTGTCTACATCTTCCAAAGATAGACCGGGCTTCATGTAGCTGCAGGTTATGAAGAATTAGCCAGGGATTGGAGCTAAGCAGAAAAGGTAAAATATTTCGAACGAGTAATATTTATCGAAGATGTTTTACATTTTTTTACAGTCTTTCATTATATAATGATTGACTTTTCTTAGTCATTATTAAATGCTTAGAACAATGTGACTGTTTTATTGGTAGTTTAGTTTTATTCTGCTTTTTTAATTTAAACGTAGCTTGCATTTCAGAGGGAGTTTGTGGCTACTCTAAGGGTGCTTTCCATTTGTCAGAACTGACCGGCCAGAAACTTGCCGTCGTGATGGGAGTTTCATTTTTAATCAAAACTATACAGCCAGACCAGTCAAATCCTAAATAGTGTGCAGGAAGGAGATGGTTATTCAGCAAAACCCTTGGAAAAAGCCGTTTTCATTGTCAAATTAACTGGTCTGGCAATGGTCCGGCCGGTCAGTTCTGACAAATGGAAAGCGCCCTAAGACTACATTCAAAAAGAAAATGTTAGATTACAGTGGAACCGTGGATAGCTTGAATTCCCCGTTAACTCGAACGAAATTTCCTCATCCTTGATCAAAATTTCATTGACATTTACCCCAATAACTCAAATTTCCCGCTAACTCAAACTGTTTTTCGTTTCCCTTAAGAGTTCAAGTTAACGGAGTTCTACTGTACTGATAAAATTTTCATGCAATGCTACATATTTGTAATGTTCTTGATTTTAAGTAAAGGAATTTTACTCAATTTTGAGTAGTTATGTTGTACTTGGGTATTGAGTTCTGCTACTCTTAAATTTCTTGGGCAGACTGGCTTACAGTGTCCAAAACTGTTATCAGATGGTTGCCAATCCCCTTAAACTGAGGGGTGATTAACAGGATTACAAGCCTAGTCATTAGTAGGTACTATTGTGCGAGTCACTTTGATGTTGTGTCGTGCTGATTTTTCTATCTGTTTAATGAAAATTCTGCTCAAGGCCTTACCTGATGGACAAATTAAAAAGTTAATTTTCGAACCAATGGCTTACATGAAACAATTCCCTGTTTAGGGAGTGTAAGCAAATACAGCTAAACCTCTTTTCAGTAGTCACCCTCGAGGAAGAAACATGTAGCCACCTACGAAAGGATCTTTTTCCGGTAATCTACTAACAGTCAGCAAAGACTATCTTTACTGGCCACTAAATAGAAGTTGATTGCTCAATAGAGGATTGACTGATAAGGAGTTAACTCCCTGCCAGATCTGCTTCTGTCTAGCACATGCTTTGATTCCAACGATAAGTTGCTCATCACCTTGCCGTGCAGATGTCAGGTTTTTGTAATAATATTTTGTTTATTCATAATGATTAATTATCATGTCTACCCTGAGGTTGACAAAACACACTTCACCTTTTTGGGCCTCCTTCTATGCACCCTTTCAATTATTTCAAGTTAAATTTCTGACCTAATACATGCAAATTTATTACAAGTAATTCAGGGTAAATGAATTACTGGATTCAACACACTTTTTTTAAAGAATGATATGGATGTAAGCAACCTTGTTGCCACAGGCTTTCTCTCTCCTTCTAGCTCATTATCAAAAAGGCAGAGATGTAAGGACCTTGGGAACATTGTTGGGCTAGACAGAGCCTAAGTACACAATATATCTGCTTTGTGTTGACAGGTATTTGATACAGGGAATAAATCAGCCTGTTTAGTTAACAGAGGAATGGGGGGAGGTATCAGTTTCATGTCCTGCATCATCAGGTAGTCTAAATACAGGATCTCACTGTGTATGGATGAGGCACAGGGGATAATCCAAGGGGATGTAGGTAGGTTACTGAAAAGGTTTACAAGCAAGCCCTCTTATTTTGGGAGGAAATGTAGTTTGTTTGGAGGTGAGAGAAGAATACCTTTCCTAGCCAGTTTGAGTTCTTGCTACTTTCAAGAGACCATAATTTTCGAGAGGATTTTCCCCGAATTTCCAAGGAAGTATGTTTATCAGAAAACCGCGGACATTAAGAAAGAGACTGGGACGAGAAAACCTCATACTACAGTTGTACTAAGTACTATTCTAGCTGTAAGTACCCTGTTGACTGAAGATGAATTTCACAATTTTTACAGACCCCAGTCCACCACAAGCCAGTCATAAAGTGGCCGAACATCACGAGGTATTCTCAAACACTAAAAATTCTTAAGTGTTGAGCTACAGTCAAGTATAAAGGCACTAAACCTTTCAGTATTTTTTGTTAATGTCGACAGGGCGTTGTGACCTCTTCTTCTTCACCCATTCAGGCACCGCTTCCTCTGGCAACTTGGTCGATGACAAAGACACCTTTGAACGAAGGAAGATTGTATAAAACGGACGGGAAACGAAGAGCTCGAAACGTGGAGAGCAGTCGAAAATATCGCAAAAGAAGGTAAGTCTTACTTGGTCATTGATGTGATGGAAATGAACAAGGCTGATTTCGCGAGTAGATAGCAGGTGTGGTCCACTACTGAAAAAAAAATTTAACAGAGAAAAATGCACTAAAAATCTGAAAATTATCTCGTTGCTTTCTGCGAAAACCTAAAAAGCCGCCAAGTGTTTTTTTGAGCTTCAAGTTTTGCGATCGATTTCGTAAGAGGGGCACACGTCATTTTCCATGTTTTCAGGGGTCACCTTTGAACTTTTTAAAAAGTAATTCACGAAGAAATATATCACAATGTATTCCAAACTGTGAACGTCGTTGATATAGAATAAACTATAGAATAAATTTCCCTTGGAAATTGGCGAAAACTAATATTTGCCGCTAAAGTGGAATGAAATTGACTTGAGATTATTATAGCTTTATTTAGCTTATTTACTACGTGTTAATCGATTCTATATTTTTTAACAGAAGGGAACGCTTTCAAAGTCTTGAGCACGCCAACAAGCGACTGCAGGAACAAGTCGATGATGTGGAGAGACAATTACAGCAGCTGAACTATGTGTTTAGTATGTTTGTACAGCATGCAGAATGCTGTGAGCAGTGCTGTAATATCAGGATTGGCGAGTAAACACGGATCTGTTTCTTTTATACTATCGAGTTGAGAAGTTCCATTGAAAATATTTAGCTTCATTGTTTGTCGAATGTTGTTCCTTTGGATATTAGCTACAGTCTAAGAAATAGACATTATGTAACGACATCGCGATTTGAAGGAAATGAGCCTTCGTTTGGTCCAAATTTGTAAAGAAACCATTTCTTAAATAAAACTTTCGTATAACGTGCAGCAAGTGTCTCTATTAGATGAAGGGGGTTGGATGGGTGGAAAACTCTAAATTATATCCCTCAGTTCAGCCCCCCCCCGCTCCCCCCCCCCCCAACGTAGTGGCCGCAGACCGTATTTCTCCTCAGAAATCGTAGAGCGCAATACAAATACAACTTACAATGGCTGAGTGAAGCTTAAAATCACCCACGTACAGTCGAGTCCTCGACTAACCCTACCCCACCCCACTCTTCACTCAGTTAACTGGCTGAGGGGAAAAAATTAAGTCGCGAAACCTTTTTTAAACTGAGATGCACGTAGACGTTCGCCTTTTCTCGCCAAAGTTAGTACCTGAAAAAAATGTTGTTTTCTCTTCTGAATTGTGTAATACTCAGCCTCCTTTACCATCCCTCCCTAAAAAAAATCCTATCGGGGATGGGGAAGAATGGAATTTAGTAACTTGCCAAGACTCTTTTATAAAAAGCAATGTTAAAAGAGGAAGCAGCGAGTTGTTTTGAAGTTTAATTGACCCTCAAAGCTTAGAAACTGAATTATCCGTTTAACATAAGTCATAACTGGCCGCTATGTTTGCTCGAAATTTAATTTTTAATGCCACGTTGTTTTGCAGAAGACGCCAGCGAAATGTACATAAGTTTTTTTTAGTGCGTGCATTTGAAACAACTCATTAAGCCTCTATTGTTTTTAAAACACGATAATCCTTGAGAAAAATCTCCATCCTAGTTCCTTAGAGCAAAAATGATCCACGGTCTTTCAGCAGTCTTTTCAAAAACATTTGCGGGTAGTTTGTATTAGGTGAACGCGGTGTTTCTTTTACAAAACCGTGGCCTAAAAGCTTTTATCCTTGTTTGTTAACTGATTGACATCTGTCAAAAAAAGACTCAAGAAACCAGTCAAAATTGAGCAAACTAATCACGTGGTTGCCTTCGCGCCTAGCTCAAACTTTTTTCCGAGAGCTTCTTGCCACTCGGATAAAAAAAGTGTGAAGAAACGACATGTTACGAAAACTAGCGAGCATAAGGGAGAGGAAGCGGGCTTTATAGCTTGTTTTGTTCACCAGTTTAATTTCTGGAGGAAGGAAAATCCTAAGAAAAAACCTAAAGACCACTCAAGAAGATTTTTAAAAGAAAGAAAATTCTTAAAAGGTTAGTGACTTAGCTTTGCAAAGTTCTTGTTAAGTTGCAATTCAAAGGGAAACGTGTGACAAGAAACCCATTATTTCGTCGCACAATGAAGTTGTTTTTTCACATTTTAGAAATTTACTGAACACAATAGTTGTTAAATGAATTTTAATTGTTTTCTTTTCAGAAATTTTCAGTGGAAGCGAAAGAATTGTAAATAAGACAAGTACGCTCATTTATAACCACCCGACTTCGCGCGTGGCGGGAAAGTAAGAGGTAAGACTTGTTTACCTATTTTTCATTACAAAAACATCATATTCCTCTTAGCTTTGTGCTCAAATAATTCGAAGAAACTATTTAACATTTACTTAGCGGTATTTTGAAGACGACGAGGCAAACATAAAGTAGTTAAAAACACTTCAAAACATAAGTAACATTTGGCGTTTTTCCTCACTGTGCAAAAAAGTCAGTTTATATCAAACCAGTTATTTAACACCAAAGCATAAAACGTTTATCAGAAGAAAATACTTGAATTTAGTTTTGTTTGTTGAAAGAAATTATATGGAAAAATGGAAAGTGAGCTAATGTTTTAACCTTAATTTTTTCTCGCCTGAAATTTTCAAGCAACTATTTACATACATCAAAGTTTTAAACGTGGTTAAGCGGCGCCGTTTCGTTAAAAGTTGCCGCTCCCGGTGACATTTTCTTTAAACTCCTTTTGCTACAAGAAAAGCTATATTACGAGGAAAATGAATATTTTACACAGTAGTCAAAATTTATTTACTTTCATTTTTGGCCTGTTTGGTATAAAACACGGAAACAAAGCAATTGCACGGCGAGAAATTTTAGTACTGCATTTTCATAGACAAAAGCAGCCGCAACATTCATTTACTGAAAGCTTGACGAGTCGTCAAATATTACAGTTTTTTCAATTAATGAAAAGGCAAAGAAATCACCGTAACGAATCTTATCAATTTTATTGGAGAACAATGTTTTTATGCGAAAATTCACCTTTCCCTTTGCCCAACTTGCCTTCAATTAGGTCAACTTTTCTTCGGCTCCTTTTTAGCTTTTATTTAAACCCTGCATAAATATCAGTGGATACCTATCCCACAAATAGTTTATAAACAATAGCTTAGGTTCGAGGGTTGTTTATTTAGTTAGCAGCATTAAATCATTGTAACAAATATGTATAGAGAGATGAGCAGGTTGTGTGAAACAGAAAATATGAAGGTGTTATTACGCGCCAGTAAATTATCGATTTTTCGTAATACTGTTTTGGCTTGAACATTGAAATTATTTCCTTAAAATATTTTTTCGGGTTATATTTCGCCTTTTCTTTACTGAGCATATATGAGGCTGACTTGACAGGAAAGCAACTGAAGTTCCCTCTTAAATCGGCAATTTTATATACTTTGACAAGTTTACTCTTTTATTGACGTTTTATTGACTACATTCAATTTTAATAATTTTTATTATTTTACTAACATTTTTTACACGGCCCCATAAGCTATATTAGCTTTAAAACCCACGGTGCTTAAATAAAAGATGTTGTTGTTCTTAGTTCCGATTGATGTTCTAGATGATAACCTATTCCTCGTTTTTAAATTGAGAGCATGTTTCTTGGTTACGTAGACCGAAGTTATGGTAACTGAAAACTTTCACCAGGCAATATATTTTGTCTTTCTGATTTAAATCAGTTTTCAATTATTTGCTTTCAAATTCAATAACATGTACAGAAGACCCAATGTCAAATTTCTACGGAGAACGCGCGTAAGGTGTCTCAAAAATGATGATGCTATTAACCCCTAGCCTCAAAAAATTTCGCCGAAAGACACGCTTTGATCTAAGTCAAGGAATTTTCTGCTCACTACCTGGCTTTCAAGAGCTAAAACCTACCACAAAGCCGTTTACAAGTCGAACACTTCACGGCTTTCTGATCAAAATGAAAATACTAGGTTGCAAAGTTCAGGCATGCGCACAAAGCAAAATTTCGAGATAGTTTTTGGGTTTAAAAGTGACACAGCAGTCTTGACTTTTCTTTTCGCTTTAGCTAATCCCCCCCTTCTTTCGCTTTTCTTGTCTCTTTTTTCGTTTCTTTGATGGGCATTAAAGAGGCTTCATTTGGATAAAAAACACTTTTGGGAAAGCTTTTGTGGTCTTCAGATTACATGAAAGGAAATATAGTTTTAAACACTATATCTTTTTATTAATTTATTCTTTTTGTTCATCCCTCATACTTTGTAGTCAAAAAAGACAAAATTCATTTCGGTTAGCACTTTTATGAAATTATGGACATGTTCCAATATTTTTTATTTACTTTCAGACCTAATCTTCCCTCTGACCTGACAATTAACTGCACCAATGAAGACTTGCCAGCCTCAGCTACTGAAAAAGCCCTCCGCAAACATCGTCATTGGATAATCAAGTCCTTCACTGACATTCAGTACCACAACCATTATAAGGCTATCATCCGCAGACAAAGACCGTCAAAAACAATCAGCAGGACAGTTCAGTTCCAATGTACCGCGGAGGAACTCCCCAGAAAAGAAGCTTGTGTCAGTTTCAGGTTAGTACAATCGGTTTCTCATTTGTTGTTATACATAAACAAGCTGGCACTTTCTTAGCCCGTTGGAAAAAAAAAATACACCAAAATAACTCGCAGGAGCTGTTTCTTAACACAATTTTTTGTATTGGCTTTGTTCACAGATGATTCACTTCGTCCCTTCCTAACACCATGATTGTCTACTTCTAAGCGATAGTATGGTTAATGAACACGCAACCAACGACAGCCGAAGGGCCACTGCAAACGAGCTTCTCAACCATCGAATCAGCTTCGTTCAGCCAAACAAGACAACACTACTGGTCAGTCAAATGGGAAGGGCAGTGGGTGGCTAATAATTAATAAAAGCGCTGGTTGAACCTTACAAATCATACACTCCACACACGTTCGGCCTCAAGTCCGTCCGCGGACTTCTTGTTCGGATTAGTTTAAGTGTAGTTAATTACTAACCGGGAAACCCAAGGTGCGGTAAGGGCCTCCCCTCTCCCTTTTTCATTTCCATTGGGTTCCTTTGCAGGTTATCCGATCAGCGACTCCATCGATTGATGTGTGAACGACTTTTCCGCGACTTTCTTTTTATCTTCAGCCGTTTTGGATAATCTTCGTCTCCGCCGTCATCGACATCGCGGTCTTCTTCAACGCGTAATCTACGCCGCCTAGTTGCGCCAAATTCAATTCATATGCTACACTTCACCTGTCAGTCTGAGATCTGCGCAAGTGAAGCTTTCATTCGTAAGGTTCAACCAGATTTTACATAATTAAAATAATAATTTAGAAAACTAGAGACTAAAGACCATTCAACTGCTGTAGGGAGACCTTATTTGGCAACTGCCTGCAAGTTTAGTGGTTTCTCTAGGATATAATTACATACAGATAGCCTCGCAAATTTGGTTGTACTTTCACCTCTTTTAAACAGCTTTAGATTAGAATTGGTTATCATTTGCCCTTATGAAAATAAAGTGTCTTGGTGAATTGCTCGCTGAAAACTTACGAGCATATCAAAAATGATCATATTGAACGAGAAAAATGTCCGCAGAAGAAAACAAAAAACAGGGGTCTTCATGCACTTAAAGCCAGTTTGCGAGAGTAGATCAGTTATAGAGTACTAGCTCTACTTAGTCACACATTTTCTGTAGCGTGTGATTAGGGAGTTCTATATGTAAAGAGAACGCCTTGATCGCAGGTTACCAAAGGGAACTATGGGGCAACGCACACACCCTAGCTAGATAATTTACGTATTGTAAGTAGTATGGTAGGTAGCCTTTCAGTTCATTTTACGACGGAGAGACCTCAAACGATCACGACAAAAGACAGGAGGAAG